AAATTTATTTAGAATACAGGCATGAATATACATACATATCAATTAAAACATCCCACAAAAACTTAACAAATAAGTTAGTTTAAAGGTAGGAAGAAATACTGGGAGCAAAAATAAGGCATCTAAAATTATTCCTGTTGTTCTGTCTTGGTGTATCCACAGTTCACCTTTAAGAACTAATGAAGGAATGGTCCATGGTAGGACACAAGTAACTTAGGGATATTCCCTAGTGGGGCTAATCAAGGACATAAATTAAACCTCTTAGTCCCATTTTTAATACTCTCTATGGTCTATTCTCTGCGTAATTCCCCAATCCTATTTCTGGGTTTATCCCTTACAACTTTGATTAAATGCTTGTCTTTTTGTGAACACACCTCATTGCTTTCATGATTTTGCTCAGGCTGTTATTTGCAGCAATAATATTCATATTGTGGTAACCCTATTTTCACATGATTAAGTCCTTCTTAGCACTTACAGTGCAGATTTAGAAGCTGCCTCCCAAATAAACCCTTCTGTCCCTGCTAGTGGAAATACCCTCTACCTCTGTTGAACTCTCACAGGACATCCCTGGTATTCCTTTTACGGGACTGAAGCTTCCTGTTTTGCATAATGGTTATACACGGTTCGCTTTTATCCCTTTGATGAAAAAGCCTCCAGAGTACAGACTGTGTAGCTACTGCAGAAGCCAGATTCCTGCAGATACCCTGACCGAGAGCATTACACAAGAACACGGATGTTGTCTCAATCTGTGATTTCTATGACAGCAAGGATTATAGTACAATTGATACTTGCTGAGTGAATGCATAAGAATACTAGTCTTGTTACGGGCAAGTATCAGTAGGATAGAGGGATACCTAAAGATACTCATTAGATTTTTGGTTGGAAGAATGTGGTGGCACCACTTAAAAGGAAAGGAACAAAGCACTAATTTGGGGTGGGATGTAATTTCAATTTTAAACAGGTTGAGTTTGAAGTGTCTTTGAAATATTCAAGTGGACATGGGTGGGGATCTAGGGATAGTTTTTATCACAAGAGCAGCCAGGATAGCATTCTAGAAGTCCCATGTATAAAGGAAAGGAGTGAAATTTCCAAAGGGTTATTATAGAAAAATTATCTTTCCCAGAAAATAGAGAGTAAAATGGAGTCATGCATTGTATTGCACTGAAAGAACTCTATGATTACTTCCTATTGATAATTTTTTGCTTTCTCCTTTCATTTTTTTGTACAATCAAAACCCCATTCAAGTGAATTTACATTACATAAAGTCCCACACCTAAATAAAGACTTGACAGCTTGAGCCAGGCATTTTTAGCCCCGAATGACTGGACAACTTTAACTTGTTTTTTATGTGCTAGTCCTTTGAGCTTTGTCTCAAGGATATATGCTTGTATACTGGTTTGAAAATCATATACTTGAGGACAAATGGGGTGGCCACAACAGCACCACAAATACAGTGGGTATTTTTGAGCTAAGAAGTAACTATGTTTGAGTTACTAAATTCTTACAAATATTCCTTTTTGCTTCTATAAAATTATATGCAAAACATAATTTATATATACCAAAGTGGTTACCACTACTAGCATAGCAAGGGAATCAAGTGAAATATTATTTTGCTTTGTATATAAAATAAAAGCAATTATAAATAACCTCTTAATAACTACCACAAAAAGAAATTTTCATTTGGAATTTGTTTTTCAAGTAGATAGTGGGCTAGGTTTCCTTTCCTTTATTTACAGGAAATGCAAATGGTAGCTTAAATAATAATTCTGGGTAAATAGCTAAGATATATTAAAAAAGAATTTTAAGAATTATTTTCATATAATGGGCATTCATTGCTTCAGCAGCTCAATGTGCCCTTCCTCTGGGAGAGAAAATTCCAAGATGGTGTCAAGGAAAAACTCTGCCTCTCACACACAATCAGGACTTCTCCCAGCAGGGGCCTGTGACTAGATACAGGAATCAGGTCCTGTATGGAACTTAGAAAGCGAAGGAGCGGCAAAGTTCAAGGTCAGTCTACAAATCTTCTGAGGTGGTTGTGGCATGCAAGAAAACAGTACCACTGCTGGAGGAGACTGTGAAGGAGGGCAGAGCAGGCAGCAGTTGTGGCCTCTAAGCAGGCAGTTCTTGAGGAGGCTATATGAAGCAGTCTACTTCTTTGCTTTGTGGATCTCTGTCTTCCTCTGAGCCAGCCAATGTTTTTTACTAGATTGTTTTTCTTCTTAAGTTAACTTGTGTTGTTGTAGTCAAGAGTGCTGAAGAATACATTTCAATTACAAAAGACTTTTACCTATTCCCATTAAAGCAGATAATTGAATATTTCAAAATATTGGATTCAGGAGTAAAATTTTAAAAATATTTTATAATTCAAATTTTTCACCACTTCATTCTGCACTCTCACAGTGTCAGTTTGTAACAATTTTAAAAGTATGTCAACGAAATAGCTGTTATGTGCACATGGACGTTGATTCTTCAGAACAGTTGTGAAAGTGACTTCTATATTCAGGACTGACTTCAAACTGAAAGCTCTTGTATCCATTTCACAATGCCTCCCACCACCATCCCTTCTCCATCATCAGGAAATTTAAAGTATTGAGTTTGCATCCAATTTAGAATAGGACAGTGCTTTTTAAAACTGAATTGGGAATTTTTACAAAATTATCCTACTAAGCACACATATCAATCCCATTCCAAAAGCTAATAGTATTTTATATCTCTACATTTCCACATGACTTACATTAGTGTTCCTCCACCACCACCCCAATGATATATCCAAGGATATTTGTATAGCAAACAGTCTTGAAAGTGACAAATAGTGTCTCCCTCTAGGATAGATGGAGGTTTTGTCTGGTGTTCAGGATAATGAAGATAATGTGTGATCCAGGGCAAAGTTTGGGCAGATTTGCTAGCAGCTCCTTTAAAAGATTGGAGTTTCCCAGGCTTGGGATTGTCAAACTGTAAGGCCAACCCCCTGCGTATACAACATTCACCCAGGTCATTCCAAAGCACCACTGGGACTTGTGGGACAAGAACAAAAATGAACATTTAACTCATGTTGCCAGCTTAAGTGTGAGAAATTAAAGTCCATTGTCTCTAACCCAGGAGTCATGTAACTTCTGCCAGCATCCATGAAACTGACAGGTCAATTTATTAGGTTGCTGTAGCATAAAATCCTTCACAGTTCTTGATACACAACATGCTTGTTGGTGCACCTTAATTTCTGCTTATTTCATTTGCTTGCTTGCTTATCTGTTTGCTGTGTGAAGGATGGGATTGTAGCAGACCGGGGAACTGTAGTCACGCAAAACTAAAAATGTGTGTGAACCCACAACTACTTCCTCACAATAAGCTCCATGACTACTTCCTTCTTGGTGCTTCATTCCACCCAAAACTGTCAATTTTCCTCATTACTGGAATCTGAGTTCTGTCTCTCCAGCAAGGCTGGAAACTCTCACAGCTAAGGACTATGATCTCTGAGATCATCTGTCCACAATCATTGGGCCATTTACTTATGTGGATGAAACTTGGGGTTGAGAATCAGGATTTGAATCTCCATTAAGGCACACATTACCTTTGCAACCTTGTACAATTATCCTCTGCAAGCCTGTTTTACTCAACTGTGAAAATGAGGTATCATAAAATATTTTCTTGGGGTTATAAAATCACATGAAATGATATAAAGTCCTAATCAATGTCTGGCATGTAGTACTTAAAGAAACAGGAATTAAATATGTAAACTGCAAAACAGGAATTCAAGTATAATTGCCCCTAAGTCAGGTGATTTTTGACTCATTTCTCCCAAATCCTTAAATAGTGATATACTACTAAGATAAAACTAATGAGATTCTCAGGAGTTAACTTATATTACAGAAGACTACTCTGACTTAACAGTACCACCTCTAGAAACTTATCTTAAGGAAACAATAAGAGATTTATTTAAAACCTTAGAAACAGGACTGCAGGATTAAGGCTGCTAGAGGGTAGAGGTGGGAAAAAGGGTGGAGGGGGCGCAGTGGTCTAGGGGAAAGGACTATGGGTGCTTGGATGGTGGGGGTGGTGTGGTGATGTACATCTGAGGAGGTATGAACCTATTCCCCTAAAACCGGTACAGCGCTGTAAGCCAGTGTTACTTCAATAAAGAAAAAGGAGAGACAGATTTGTTTATAACTTTGTTCCTTACAGTGTTATTATTAGAGAAAAAAACAACTAATTATATGTCTAATAATCTGGCTTGTACCCTGGTTCTTGTATAAATAAAAATAAATCTTAAAAAAAAACTAATAGGGGATTATTGAAATGAATTGCTGAATAGTCATATAAGAGAATGTTATGCAGCAATAAAATTTTATAGTTTGCTATCTAATGGCAAGGGTAATCATTCAGTAAAGAAGGCAGGCTATAGAACACATATACATATTATTCCAGTTTTGGTTAAAATGTATATCCATTCATAAGATATTAGGTTATAGATTAAAATGTTGCACTGGGTTGGTGTTACATTGTACACTTCTCTGTATCTTCTAAGTTTCCTAAAATAAACATATATACTATCTATAATAAGTAAAAAGCATACTAAATATTATAACAGCTATATATTATTATTATTAAAAATCCAAATAGGAAGTATGAATAAATATAATGCAATGATTTTTGAAAATAATTCAACCAGGGAACATGACAATAGCAATAGTATCAAGAAGTCTTTCAAGATTTTTTTTAAACCTCAAATTGAAGATATGTTATTTTACAAACAAGCAGACCATATAAGGAAATAGACACCAATAAAAATCGTCTATTGGAGTTTACATTCTTTGTTCAGAAGAAGCTGTTTTTTAAAAAATGCTGCCAGTAATATCAGGGCCAATTCAACAGGTGACATTCACTTTTCCTGCAAATACCCCTTATCTTTAAGCCACAATTAAAGAATTTAAATTAACTATTTTCTCACCTATATCTCACCTGACCAGCTACTTTAGACTTTTGGAGTCAAGGTATCACTTGGTTACCTGGCTTTTTCTGTGCCTCCTGTACACTGATGAATGTCAATGAATTCCATGAGTTGTTTTTGCAACACCACATCTTTGCCCTCAATTTGAGTAATGAATTTATGCTGTAAAAGATCTGACACAGTGGGACGTTTCTCATAATCTTTAGTCAAGCACCTGTACTGGCAAAAATAGAACACAGTCTTACTAAGAGTTTTGAAATTATTAGTCACATACCTGAAAATCACTTGAACATGACAGTATATTCCTTACAAATGCTCAGCCTGAGAAACATTTCAAAAATGTTAAACGACATTAGGTGAAATGAATGTTTGTGCAAATGCACATGTCTGTGAGTGATTATGCTGTAGTGAGGCCAACTCCGAAGTAAATACTACTGCCCTCCTCTCCCTGCAATGCGCTAGAGCAGTGATAATTAAATGCTGCTTCTACTGCAAATGCTCCTTTACAATTCAGTAGCTAAAGATAAATGACAATGAAATCATTACAGCTTTAATGCTTATCTAAAATTGAAACAAACTTTTCAGTTTTCCTTCACTAGTGCTTTTAAAGGCTTCTTAATTGGTCTATTTCTTTCTACGTGCCAAAACTGCTAACCCATTTGAGAAGGCTAATGCACTGAGGATGTTTACATTCCTTGACAGTCAATGTTTTCTGAGTTTGTACAGCAGACTTACTAATGCATATCACACTCTCGACATGTTCAACCAGAGAGTCATGAGAAAGGATAAGGAGAGTGAGCACACCTGAGCGAGCATCAGAGGAGGGGCATCTGAACAAAATTAGGATGTCTAATGAGCCTCGTGAAAGGGGTTAAACTAGTTTTCAGTGGTCATAAAGGACAAAAGTCTTAGGATTGATTGGTCAAATTAAGGGAGAAATAGATTTCAGGTTGGTATGAGAAAGCACTTGCCACAGTGAGGTTTATCACAGACAGAATAGACTGCATTGAAAAATATAATTATTTTTATCAGAGATGTTTAATTGTACATGTTCAAGAATAATTTATGCTCTTGACATGAGTTTGGGTTACAGAACTTTCCAAAACCCTTCCAACCCTGAGATTCAGAGGATCTTGATTATGAGAAAATTGGTCAGAATTGGGCTGTCATTGGGGATACAGAAAAACAGAAAACAGAAGAAATTTATACCTTCACTTAAGCAATGTCATTTCTAATCAGTATTGTTAATCCTGCTGAGACAATAATTTGACAATTTATTTTGTTGCATTCAATCAAAAAGATATTTCCCAAGGATGCTAAGATATGGTAGGGAATAAATAAGGTTAACAATTTCTGAAAATAATATTGGCTCTTTGTCTACACTGAGTTTAACAGAATGTGTCCATTTCTGATGTGTCACATTTGTATCAATGCATTGAGCATAGTATAAAGTTTCTCTTTATCCAAGAGTTAGTATGTACTAACATCTGCTAGACACTATAGTTATAGTAAGATATAAGAGGTGAAAAGTATAATGACAAGTGGGGGGGGGCAGGGGGCACATTCAGTGCCTGGACTTACTTATTGTCTAGTTAAGGAGAAAGACATCTAAGTGGGTAGCTTAAAAATGTGGCAAGGTCATTAGAGGGAGAGGAACAAAATACAGTGATAGCACACAGGACAGATGCTAATTGCCTAGAGGAAATCAGGAAATGCTTCTTAGAGGAGAAATTGTGTGAAATAAGTCAAGGTCACTAAATTATACTGAGGGTCTATATGGAGGATCTGCAGACATGGGCAGCGTTGTGAATGGCAGAGAGTTCTTCAAAGTTACCAGTGATTCTCCTAAGAGACTTGTGAAATCTGATGGCAGTTTATTAAGCATTCTATTGTGCACAGTACATACTCAGTAATATAATGTACTGTCTGAATAAGTGAGAACAAAAAAAAAAACAACAACAAAAACCAGATTGTCAATCCTTCTTGGGTTTTTCCAACTCAAAGTCTAAGCTGCTTGCCTTTAAGTCAATAGGAAAAAAGAAGATATTCTTGATAGAAAAACTAATGATAGAGTACGTATGAGAAAGTATGGTTATACTTTCTTTGCCCTTTCTACATTTTCTGAGTGGAGTCTGAAACATCAATTTTTTTTAAAGATTTATTTATTTATACAAGCACTGGGGTACAGGCCAGAGGCGTAGGAGGGTGACAGAATTCACCAGAGACAGAGCAGGCAGCAGAGCAGGCAGAAGGACCGAAATACACTGCTGAGGGGAGCAGCGGGCGGCAGGAGAGGTCTGTTGCGCCATGTGGGTTTCTCTCTGGCTGGCCAGGAATCGAACCCACGCTGCACAGACTGCAGACAGCTTCACAGCGCTGTGCTCAACCCACTACGCCACTGAGGAGGCACTGAAATATCAATTCTTAATGACACCCCTTTCCCATTTAAACTGGGGTCATCATTTCCCTTATTTTAAGGTGAACACATAACAAGGATTTTGAAAAAAAGTTCCGTGGACAGATATTTAGGGATGACTAAATCACGTCTTTTAGCTAATTGACTGAAGGTAGTGCACTTGTGCTAAATATTTGTCATATTAAAAATGTTCACTAAATTTCAAATCTACTGTAAGGGTTTTATGGCTACAATTATCTTATTTTTCCAATTGCAATGAATTAGTGATGCAGGTAAATGAGGGTTAAATAACTGAGCAAATAGATGGTGAGTTAACTGGTGGGAGTGCATGGTGGGCAATTGTTGCAAAAGGCAGGTAGCCAGAAGCTGTTCCTGGATATGGAACTATCCATAGACTAGAGACTCATAAGTGAATTAATATGATCCTTACATCAATATTGGAGCAATAATGAACTCAATGAACATTCAAAGGACGCTACAAGTGTTTGTTTTGAAGAAAACAATGAAAATCTCTGGGGTTATTTGATAAGGAAGATGGAGGAGATTCAAAAAAAGAGTAATTGTTGTAAAAGGCACATCTCAAAGTTGCAGCTGGATGGCATATCTTTCATTTTTTTTTTTAAAGACTTTATTGTTACTCACCTGCTAATGAAGTCATTGAATTCAGCTGACCATATCTCAGGTTGCCTTAGTTTTGGGGGTGGATTCCTAGAAAAATAAGAATCAAGGTTGGATTGTGCACATTGGTGAGTCAATATAAAATGACAAGCAGACTAATGCATTACTGCAATCCCAGGTTCTGCCGCGTATAATCAAGCATTACCATCATTTTCCAATTCAAAAACAGATAATTAGTTATTAATCATTCTTTATACAAAATGACAAGTTCCTTGTTTCTCTGAAAGCATCCAATATGTGACCCAATTTTTCCAACTGATAATCCTTTTCTTTTAAAGAATCCTCTTGCTTTTTACCTGAGAGCCCTAGAGGAAAACATCACCACTTAGCAGAATAGAATCAATGAATAGTGGGGAAAAGATTTCTTACTTTGAGTCCTGCAGAAGTCTCTGAGGAATATTCAGGGTACACAGAGGTGACCTGAAAGGAGAGTTGTTCAGAATATGGAGGAATGGCAGCAGAGGGACACAGGAGAATGCCTTTATGTGATTGTTGTTACTGAATACACAACTGGAAACAGGGTTACAAAAATAAGGAACTGGAAAATATTACCTATAAGCTCTGTATGCCACTTAAAAAATTTTGCTATTAATTCCATTCATTTATAGCTGACTAAATCCTTTCTTTTTTTGGCATATTCATGAATACAAAAGATCAGACTTGAAAATGAGACTGATCTAACTCTAATCAAGCAACATTGATCAACCATGATAACGGAAACTGCTGAAGTACTGCTTAATGTTAATTCTAACAGCTCTTTGTTTTCATTAGCAGAATGGAAATACTTTGTCTCCATTTCTGCATTACTCCTTAAATAGCTTATAAAGAAATTAATGTACAGTTTGTACAGGCTCATTAAATAAGAGTGCAGCTACTTATCTCCCCTAGTTGTAGTTCACGCCTAAAGCACATTTTATAATCCTTAGGACTATTTGAATATTGCTGATTTGCATGTTCAAAGAAATCGTTCTTTTCTCCAACAATCTTGCTTTGTTACTTGTCCCCCTGGAAACTTCCTTCTAAGAGATTTATTGATTTGTTTAGAGTATAACAAAGTTCTGACGATGTTAGAGCATTCAGAAGTGGTTAGCTTTTCAGATCACTTTTTTCTAATTATTTCTAGAGTTAGTAGTCTCAGAATTCCACATAACAGCTACTGATACTGATGGCAGAAGTAACAAGAAATAACTAAGATGATGTAGTTTCTAGAAGTACCTTACTCAGAGGTACAAAATACATCAACAGTGTCATCTCTCTTCCACATGACTTCATCACCAAGACTAACAACATTGGACTTACTATGGTAGCTTAAACAAGAAAATGGCTCAGGAGATAGGTACTTTATCTTATATTGAATAACAGAGGGAGATACAAAATATAGATTTCATTTGTTTTCTTCAAATGTAATGAACTATCTTAGACTTGATATAGAGCAAGTTTTCCATTCATTTTTGTAATCTTGTTTCCCTGCTTACCAAATAAGCAGTATATCTTATAAACAGTAAAACCTTAAACACACTGAAATTGTAATTAAAATATGATATATATCTAAGTCACTAAAATTCAGAACATATAGATAGGACAGGAAATTTAAAGATAAAATTAAAAACAAATTCAAATGCTTTGGTCTTATATTAACCTAATACAAGCCAAACATTCCAAATGGATCCATTTGGAAATGTATACAACATGTTGGCATCATTTCTTTAGGACTGAAAAACTCTCCCCAGGGCCTTGTAGATGTGATCCTATGTCAGTAGCACGAGGGCCACAATATTTGTTTAATGGAGATCGTGCTAACAAACTGCAACATTCCACCCTACGTCTCTGCCCTGGACCCTTCACCACAGACCCAGTGTGCATTCCTTGGAAATAGGACCAGACAGAATCTGTAAGAAAATCTTCAAAAGATAACATATCTAATGGCCCTGTTCTTTTCTGGCAACTAGAAGACAAAGGCATCCAAGGGAAGAAAGACACATTTGGAGGAATATAAAAGTTTAAGTCATTAATAAAAGGAAAAAATGAATAAAAATAAACATTGATAAGGATTTATCAACAGCTTATGTAAAAATAGGTAGCTTTTCATATCAGTTTTCTGAAATATCTAGGAATAACCAAAACATACCATGCGTTTAATTGGTAACAGGATGAGCAGGGTAGTTTGTCAATAGACACACTGAAGGGAAGGGGTTTATGCAGAAAGTGCTTTCCTGGTGCCAAAGATCTCATCCTTCTAAATTTACTGTTTTATAGAAATATATTCAAACATTAACATTTAAAATCATTATTAGTCTATCAATAGATTTAATAATAAATTTCTTAATATTATTTTGAAATTCTAAACAAAGAGAAATCTTAGCAAATGGTAAAACAATGACTAGGTTAGTAGAATGAACAGCAAATCCTTGTGGCACAGACTGTGGAAGGGCAGGCCTCACTATATGGAAGAGGGTAAGCAGTGGGGAGCAGAGTGCTATTTCCTAAGATCACATCCTGGTCAAAGAAAGAAACACTGATTATCAAGAGAAACTTATTTCACCTATTAGGCCAGGGACTGAAACTACTAAACAAAGTATCTCAGAGAAACAGAATGATATTCCAGACCACTCTGCTCCCAACTTGTTGAACTACATCTGAATATTTCCAGGAGGAGAAATAATGAGCACAAAGTCTCTGGAAGAGGAAAGTGGCATCCATGTTAGTCCTCTGACCTTGGAATTTTGAAGAGTGCTCTCATGGGATGTAGGTCAGCTAGAGGAGGGTCTCCATCGCCTAGCTCAATGGCTGTGATCCCAAGGGACCATGTATCGCATCTGGCATCATACGTGGTATCCAATTGCTGTTCACAGGCAATCACCTATGAAATGAGAAAAAAAAGTGAAGTTAGCAACATTAACAAGAATGTAGAAAAATGAAGTTTGATAAGTGTGAATAAAGACAAAAGCAGAAACTGGGGAGAGTAAAAACTCAATTTATTATAGTAGAAATAGTGATTTTATTTTGAGAACAGACACTTTAACAGATTTGCAAATCTAAGAAAGACACCGATGAAAGGAATAGTTTTGAAAATGTAAAACAAAAAGGGTGAAAAGACAGTGTCTTAAATAAAAAGGGTAAAGACTAAGCCATGGTACTCACTTGATAAACTTTTTATGAATGAATGAAGATATTCATATTAAAAACATAAAGAATACTTTACCATTTACTTTAATAGTTGCTTTTTTTAAGTTGAGGTATTATTGTTTTATTTTTTAAAAATATTTTATTTTATATAATTCTTACATCATTTTTCATCTTTGCACAATGTATGCATTTTCATTATGGTTATATTCCCCATACAATTGCACTCTACCCTTATCTTGACTCTAGTCCTTCCTCTCCCCTTATTTTGACTCTAGTCCTTCCTCTCCCCGCCCCTCCTTCCTTCCACCCCTCCACCCCACCTGCCACCCCCCTCACCCTGTGTCTCTGGTTTATAGTTGCTTGTTGATTTTGATTTTTACTTTTACTTTGTATTGATTAGTTTTTTTCCTGGTCTCTTATTTAAGTTTTCTAAATTCCTGCGATGAGTGAGACCATTGAAAAAAAAAAATACCAGAGGTATTATTGTTTTAAAATACTGTTTAAGGCACCACAGTCCTCTTCTTTAGCCATATGGACTGCCTCCCGCTTTGCTCTCTACTTCCCCCATCTCCCTGTAGAACCCTCAGTTTTACAGTTAAAGAATATATCATTAGTGGGCCTCCCCGGAGGCGCAGCGGTTGAGCGCTGGGTTGCGAAGCTGCCCGCGGCCTCTGAAGCGCCGGTTCGATTCCCGGCTGCTCCCCGGCCACTGGAGGAGGGTCCCACATGGCGCGCAGACCCCTCCTGCCGCCCGCTGCTCCCCTCAGCAGTGTACTTAGGTCCTTCTGCCTGCTCTGCTCCCTGCTCTGGCTCTGGTGAATTCTCTCACCCTCCCATGCTTCTGACTGTACCCAGTGCATGTATAAACAAACAAACAAACAAATAAATAAATAAAACATGCCTAAAAAAAAAATATATCATTAGGAAACTAAAAGTGAATGAAGAAAAATAAGCTTGACAGCAGTCTAGTTAAATGACCTTGATCTTTTCTGGCAACTAGGAAGAAAGAGATGCATTTGGAGGACTATAAAAGCTTAAGTCATTAATAAAAAGAAAATAAAATGAATAAAAATAAACATGGATAAGGATGTATCAACAGCTTATCTGAGGCACACTAAATATAAACACTAAAATCATATTTACAAGAATGTCAGTAATAAAAGGATGTAATTGAGACAAGAAAAAAGAAAGAATTTTTCCTGCAATACAGTGAAATAACATTAGACAGAAAAATTATTAAATATTATTTCACAGTTTATTTTTAAAAATGTAAATATGAATACAGTGGTCTATGACATCAATGATGGCAAGATATTCAACTTCATGTTATAAAAAATAATTTAAAAATTACATTTAATGTTTGTCAACCTGCAAGACAAATTACAAATAATTTGGGATAATGTTAGGTTAGTGTTGTATCATCATTTAACTACAATACTGTGAAAAATTATGTAAAGTGAAAAAAGTCTAAGGCCCTGTTTGAAATAATATTTCATCTTTATGACTATCTCACACAGGCTTAACACACTACAGTGTCTATATTACCCAAAGCAGTATATAGATTCAATGCAATCCCCATCAAAGTTTCAAAGGAATTCTTTACAGAAATAAAGCAAGCATCATCTAAATTTATATGGAACCATTTAAGACCTCAAGTAGCCAAAGCAATCTTGACAAAAGAGGAAGGAGGACCTCCCTGGTGGCGTAGCGGGTTGAGCGCTGTGCTGTGAAGCTGTACGCAGCCTCCGAGCACTGGTTCGATTCCCGGCTGGCCACGGAGAATCCCACTTGGCAAGGCAGAACTCTCCTGCCTCGCCTGCTGCAGTGCCTTTGGTCCATCTGCCTGTCCTGCTCCCTGCTCTGTCTCTGGTGAATCCTCTCACCCTCCCGTGACTCTGGCCTGTACCCCAGCTCTTGTATAAAAATAAAAATAATAAATCTTTAAAAAAAAAAAAAGGAAAGGAATGGAGATACCACTCTACCAGACTTCAAACGATAGTTTGAAGGCTCTAGTAATAAAAACAGCATGGTATTGGAATAAAAATAGACACACAAACCAGTGGAATAGAATGGGGAGCCCACATTTATATGGACAGTTAACCTATATTAAAGGAGCCAAGAGTATGCAACGGACAAAGGAAAGTCTCTTCAATAAGTGGTGCCACAAAAACTGGACAATGCTCAGAAAAATGAAACCAGACCACTCTCTCATGCCATACACAAAAATTAACTCAAAATGGATCAAAGACTTGGATGTAACAACAGAACCATAAGACACTTGGAAGAAAACACAGGCAAAGCACACCACAATACTGACTTCCAAGATGTCTTCGGGGACTCAATTACAACAAGGAAAATACCAAAAGTAAATGAATGGGATCACATGAAGCTAAAGGCTTCTGTACAGCAAAAGAAACTAGCATTAAAACAAAAAGACACCCTAATGAATGACAGAAAATATTCACACGCCATACATCTGACAAGGGTGAATATCCAAGATCTAGAAAGAACTCAGACAACTCAATAAAAAGAAAACAAAAAAATTTAATAAATCAGTAGAAAAGCTAAACAGACACTTCTTCAAAGTAAGGTCAGATAGATGTCCAACGGGCAGATGGAGAAATGTTCAACATCACTTATCACCAGGGAAATGTAATTCAAAACCATGAGATACCACTTCACTCTAGTGAGAATGGTCCATATCAAAAAAAACCACAAAAAACAAAAAACAACCTTAAACAAAACAGAAACAACGAATGCTGGCAAGGCTGTGGAGAAAAAGGAACCCTTGTATACTGTTGGTAGGACTGTAGACTGTTCTAGCCCCTATGGAAAACAGTGCAGTGTTTTCTCAAACTACTAAATAGAGATAAACCATATGATCCAGCAATTCCACTCCTAGGTGTCTTCCCAAAGAATACAAAATAACTAAATGAAGGAGTATGTGCACTCCTATATTCACTATAGCACTATTTACAATAGCCAGGTTATGGAAAAAACCTAAATACTCAACAACAGAGTACTGGATTTAGAAGGTGTGGTATATATACACAATCGAATACCAATCGGTCATTAAAAAAAAGGATGAACTCTTGCTTGTGATGCCACGCATGGAAGTGGAAGCAACTGTACTATATTAAATAAGTCAGAGGAGAAAGACAAATACCAGATGACTTCACTCATATGTGGAATACAGAAAAAAAAGGACCTGACAAAACTAAACCAAAAACAAACCCCAAATCATATTAGAATCAAGGTTGCTAGAGGGGGTGCGGAGGGACTATAATGGTAAAGGACTATGTGTGCTTTGATGGCAGGGATGGTGTAACATACAATTGGTGAGGTGTGAATCTAGTCCCTTAAATCTTGTGTAGAGTTGTAAACAGTTACCTCAATAAAGAAAATAAACATTTACCTGTTAACATATATTCATAGCAGTATATTCATAATAGCCAAAAAAGAAACTAACACAAAGGTCCATGAACTGATGATGAATAATACTGTAATCAGTAAATACTAATTCTGATCTAAGATTTAATTTAAAAAGTGAAAATTTCACTTTTCCCCACTGGTCGTTGATTTAAATATGCTACCCTTTGAAGCTCTAAAAAGAATGAAATAATTCTATGATATTAACTATAGAAGATATGTTAAATTTGTTTACTTTATTGCTTACTAATTTTTAGAAATGTGTCATTAATAACAAACAGCTAGTTTATATGGGACATATTCATTAACTAGATAGGTGGCTATTCCAGATGGATTCTTCAGCGATTCTAAATAATAAAAATGTATTGAAATGTTGCTAGTCATTTATAAGTTGGAAAAAGCTTATTACACAGAGTTGAATATAACACAAAGTTTCAAACATATATGTACATGACAACTTGTACACACAGCAGTGAACCTTTCTCTTTTATAATATCCATAAGTTTGCTAAGCAGGAAAGCACTTTCTAGCTCTGTTTATGTTATAGTAGGTTTACTAATAAGAAATAATGACTTATCAGTAAAATTACTGACCGCTGATTACATGTTAAGGAACATCAATTTTAATTATCAACTCATTTAATAATCTGGCAATTCAATTAAATTTTAGATAGATCAAAATATTTCTTTTTACTGAAGATTAGAGTGGTTCCAAGTTCCATTAATCAAAGTTTTTATTAAATGGCACAATTAAGCATAAAAAATGGTTTTGTTACTATAGATCAATATATGAAAAATATATAAAGGCAGTCTATAATTTAACATTTATTATAAAATAATATAGTATCAATTGTAATATTAATGCATGTAAGTTAAAGGTAATTTTTAATATTATCAGTATATTTTTATTTTCTCATTATTGCAAGCTTTTCATAAGCTTTGGAAACACTAATACATCCGAATAAACAATGAAGAAACTCATTCAATTTTTTGCTTATATGACTAAAGCTTATATGTTTGCTTATATGACTAAACTTTGTATTTTCATTCTACAATGTATTCCCTGTTAAAATATTCTGAATTCATTGGATTTTTATAATTTTATTAAGATAATTTATCCTTTCTCCATATTTTACATTACATTTACATTTTCACCTTTTTTGCATGTAGTAATTAAATTAGTGCTAAAATAGAAACAGTACACCAGGAATTAATTTTCAAACAAATTTAATTCTAAGATTTTGCAATATTAATATAATATTTGAATTACTTCTCCTCCTTCCACTCCCTAGAAAACTGTAGATAAATAGCAACGCATTTCCCAAAGGTAGCAGAGAGTTTTCAGACATAAGTGCTCTTTACTGATAAACATAATTAAAAAGATTAAAGGAATTAACAGCAACTGTGGGGAGGAGATGTGACTCTAGAAAACCTTTATTTTAGCAGTCTATCTGCAATTTCCCAAAGGAAACGATAATGAAGAGAATTTATTAACACTGAGCATAGCCACCAGGAGAGAGACCCAACATAAGAAGCTGCTATACAATTAATGGACCTGAATCTGATTTCAAACAAAGGTAAGGGGTTTTCATAACATTCCTATTAAAATTTAAAAACAGAATCTAAATATCATTAATACACATACATGCTAAAGAACTAAAAGTAAATGTAATGAAAATTAAGGCTTCATGTAGTTTCTCTTTACCTCATCTGATTCACTCATTCAGTCCTTCATCTACAGAGACACTTTATAGAGAATCTTCCATATTCTTCCTTACCCATGAAAAAAAAAACTTCACATAAAAACAGCACAACTGGTAATTTTATATTCCAAAATGCACATGGAGATACATCTCACATGAAAAAGAAAATTCTATCTGACCTCAGGAGCCATCCAAAATGGTGTTCCCACAGAAGTGTTCCGACGGTGCCAAGTGCTGGTGAGCTGTGCAGATACACCTGGGAGGAAGAGAGACACGAGACTTTTTGCATTAATTACTCTTGTGGAGATCCCAATCGTAATACATCTGTTTACATACTAATATTAAAATTCTCTTCCCTTGAAACTGGCATTGAAGTTCACAATAAAGTACCCTGGATAAGGGTCTGTGCACGAAGTATAGAGCCATCTCCCTATTTTCTACTTCTTATAACCAAATCTATGTATCCATTCTCACACCCCATTTAATTTCCTGATCATACTAACCTCTATTTCTTTTGACTTCCTATATTTTGAGCTATTTGTATTATATACTTTGGCACATAATTACTGTCTGAATGGTATGATTTTTTCCTTCTCCCTCTGCCTATGACCAAATTTGGGTGAATTTGGGAATGTTTATATGAACCTCACATAAAAGCAATATAACTGGCAAAATTTAAAGACCATAGACAAAGATTTGGTTTAGGACATGATTTACAAGTAGGTGGGGTAGATCACTAAGGGATATAATTAACATGGGACCAAATCAATCCACAGCCTCTGCAGCATGAGTTTGATCCCCGACCGGCCAGGGAGCAAACCACAGGTGAAGCAGACCTCTCCTGTCTCGTCTGCTGCTCCTTTCAGCAGTGTGTTTCAGTCAGTCTGTCTGTTCTGGGTTCCCCACTCTGTCTCTGGTGGATCCTCTCATCCCCTGTACCTCTGGCCCATATCCCAGTTCTTGTATGCATAAATAAATATTTGAAAAAAAGTAAACTGGTATTGATACCTCCTTCAGAGGCCTAGTCTAAGGATTGCTGGGGTAGGGAATCACAGTGCTCATGAGGTAGCACATGTCATTTAGTTTAGAAATCCTGCAGAATGTTTTATACCTGATTCCTGTAAGTTGTATGAAAACCAGAAAAATTCAGCCCAGAATGTAAATGGAAAAAAATCTCAAAGTTATGGAAAAATGCAATTAGGGAAAATAAAAAAAAAAAACACAACACCTTGAGATTAAGACTATTGGATGATTATCACATCAGGACACAGAACCAATTGAGCAAGCGTGACTGAAGAAGGCATTTGTCAAATTTCATGTTGTTTAATTGCTTCTGCAATGACTGCTAAGCCTCAAGATCATTTTACCAACAATTAATTTGCTTCAGAGCTAGAAGGCAACTTAATAGCCATAAAGTCTAACTTACTCATTTTCAGGTTAGTAAACTTCAACTGGAGAGAAATATGAGTTTCCTGGGGACAAACAGCATTTTTATTTAGTATGAATTCTCAGCCACAAGAGCAGTTATGAAGAAGCTACACTTTCATTGGAAAAATGAAAAATACTATTTAAAATGATTGAATAATTACTTTAAAAGGCAACAGGAATCCAAATGATGAGTTCAGGAGTCCTAGAAGTAAAGAAGATTAGGAAAATCATCTCGTTCAGAGAGGAACTAATGGAATAAATCACCAAAGTAAATAATTACATAAGCATCTCAAGGGAGAAGATGCTAAAGCATGGAAAATTCCAGGCAGAAAGCTGGGATAGTGAAGGACTGGAAGGCCAAAAAGAGATAAAGGCTGAACACAAAACAGAGAAGAAGAGAGGACAAGAATCCATTAAAAGTCAAAGCCACAGTATGAGTAAGGAGGTTTATGTTAATGATTCTGCAGCCTTTGCTTTGAGTACACCGCTGGGGAATTTTCAAGCTATTTTAGGCCCCTCCAACAAAGCTTTCTGGCTATACAGCAACCCCATTCCCTGATGCAGGCCTTGTTTCTAGGAAAAAAACTGTACAGTCTTTAAACTTACAGTCAGGAAGTCTTTTAGGGTCTCACGGTTTAGAGAACCAAAGAGGAAACATCCAATATATGCTTTCCAAGTGGTCCAAGCACACTAGACAACTTCAGGGACTGTGATTTGCTATTAACCATATAGCAAAACCCTTGACATTTTAAGGGAGCAAAGGAAAGAGCAAGGGTTTGCTGTCAAAAACAAAATATTGCAGGGGTAAGAACTAAAACTAAAAATAAAGAAGTTTTTCAACAAGAAGGAGGCATAAGATTTATTATAAAATCTACTATCCTCATTTTTTTGAGGATTAAGACACACAATGGGCAATTTTGTGTGTTAACTTGGTTGGGCCATGGTGTCCAGATACTGGATAAAACACTATTCTGGATGTTTCTGTAAAGGTGTTTTTTGGATGAGATTAACATTTAAACCAGTGTACTTTGGATAAAGTAGATTACCTCCTTGATGTAGGTTGGCCTCATTCAGTCAGTTAAAGACCCTATCCGAACAGAGACTAACTTTTAGTGGGCAAGAAGGAATTCTGCTCGCAAATTACCTTTGGACTCAAACAGCAACTCTACCCTACATCTTTGGCATGCCAGCCTACTCTATAAGATTTGAGACTTGTCAAGTCACTACAATCATACAATTCAACTTCTTCAAATAAAAGTGTCTCCACACATAATATATGGAATATCTGTATCCCTATGTAACATATATCTCCACATATAATGTTATACTTTGGGGTGACAATCTACTTAGTCTTGAGAAAGCTTTAGACTTTTTCATCAGAAAATTCATATTCATACACCATTTTGCATATAAAAGATATCTAAATTCTTCTGCTGTTCCTCTACTTATTACACCAAATGATATTCAAGGTTATCTCCAGCTTTACTATTCAATGAGTCTATCAGCTAACACAAGGTAGGTGATTCTAAGTAACCACTATTCCTCTCAACACAATATCATTTCCTTTAAAAACCTAACCATCTTCAGTTCACCTGGCACTGGAGCTTTCTTTTCCTTTAATATAAAGTTATTAACTTGTAATGGAAACTATGTAGTGTTTTCTCTAAATACATCAAGATCATACTGATCTCGAACTCTCATTGGCTTGGACATAGGACCTATGCACCCAGAGCTGTCTGCACCATTTGATTCTGTAGGAACTTGCCTTATCTGTAATTTGCCTTAATCATGGTACACTATCATTATTTATCTCTTATAAATCCTATTTATTCATCCCCATGCCCCCTACCGCTATTTCCTCTCCTATTGCCCTGTCCCTTCTCCTACCACAAAATCTTTTGTTTGATGCTCTTCAGGAACTGAAATTTTAGAGTTGAGGATTAAGATCATTTAATTCTAGTTAAAGTACTTATTTTACAATGAGTAAAAACTGAGGGGTAAAGAGGTGATTATTAAAAATCCATAAGGAAAGTCCTCTTTGGTTCACACCTAAAATTATCACATCACAGAAGACATACTTAGTAGCTTTTATTAAAATTTCTACAACTACATTGAGGTAGTTTGTTTCTGTGTTAGGTAAACCACTAGATATAAAGTTTTCTTTTAATTGTTGCTAAATCAAAACTCATTCAAAATGCTGAAATCCATTCCTAACTTCATGAGTTTTTTAATGTACTTAACATAATTTAATTTATATTAAAAACTAAAATTTTGAACATCTCTCACTCCACAGGCTAGTTTACATCAATAAAAATATTTTCTAGGATATTTATAAAAATATTTTTCTATTTTTTTTCTTCAGAAGAGATTTTTTAAAAAAAGATCAAAATTTTTTTTTTCTGTCACTTGCCAAATAGGAACAGGAGGGCCCAGGCAGGCTTACTGTTGCCATATCAGCATATTCTCTGACTGTGCCTAATGGGATTAAAAGGGAATGTCTGATCTAGTTTGAGTCAGACTAGCTCCTTCTTCCACTCCAATTTCATTTTGATTCAGAGTTTTAGAAGTCTGGATCAGTTAGCTGTTGGCACTGGATCCATAAGTGATACAGGGTGGGAAAGTGGAGGCTGCTTTTTTAGTAGATTTGATGGGCAACATGGAAAGTCCAGAGGCTGGTCTGTTAGGTCCTAAAAGAGAAGCAGGGAAGAGAGACTTTGTTTCTCTGAGGGAGAGCAAGAGGCAGCAGGTATTGCCCCTCCATTCTTGAGTCTCAATTAGTCCCTTCAGGCCTGCATTTCTTATCTGTGAGTTGCCTTTTGTGCTTTACTCTTTTTTGAAGCAAGTTGGGTTTCTCATCTTTACAACTTAAAGACCCTTGACTAAGATATACAACTTTTTTAAAAAAAAGATTTATTTATTTATGCATACAAGAACTGGGGTACGGGCCAGAAGTGTGGGGGGGTGAGAGGATTCACCAGAGATAGAGTGGGGAGCAGAACAGGCAGAGTGACTGAAATACACTGCTGAGGGGAGTAGCAGGCAAGGCAGGAGAGGTCTGCTGTGCCATATGGGTAGCTCCCTGGCCGCCCAGGAGCCTGGGGATTGAACTCGTGCTGCAGAGGCTATGGATAGCTTCACAGTGCTGTGCTTTACCCCTTGCGCCACCAGGGAGACCCTAAGACATACAACATTACCTACAATGCTCAATAGGATAATTCAACTATGGAAAATGCTTAGTTCGCAACACTTGAGCCTACTGGAATCACAAAGCTCTAGAAGAATCCATTTATTCATGGTATGGCTTTCTATAATGAAAGAATTATAAATGTCTTTCATTTCAAATAAAGTGAAGGTCAGATCCTCACAGTACAAGAATATATTCTAGCTGAGTAAAATATAATTTGTTTTGTATAGAAATGAAAATTCTAAAACTCTGCTAACTTTTTAAAAGGGGACTAGTTTTCTATTATTTCAGATTGTAAAGTACTAGCTCTCAAATTTTTAACATTATTAACATTCAATATCTTTATATACCTAATATATATGTCTTGAGACTTTCATGCTATGTCTCTAACTCTACCCCATACTGTCTACCAGGCCTCTCCACTGCAAGTTTTCCCTTTTTCTTGTAATTAAGCATTTTGAAGAAAGATATTTTAAGACTATGTAAATATCCAATTTCTAATCAAAACTTAATTCACTAGTTTTAGCAGCCATTGAAGTTTTTCATGAATTAATTATTACCATGATGGTTGCCAAATGACAGTTTTACAAGTTTTATTATTCATTCTATATATATTAGTTGTTTTTCCTCTGTAAGGAAAGCTT